GAAAGTATCTAAGCCAGCTAAAGCTGTTAAAAGTAGATCTAAAAAATCAAAAAAGTAATAAAATAAAATACATAGTCATTAATGACTCTTTCATTTTTGAAGTTATAATTCAATTTTGTTTGTTCAGTTTTATCTGTTTTTGTGTTATTTATTTATTGTTATTTTATAGATTTCTCAAGTTAATTCAGAATATATATCAAATTTTGTTGCCATGTTATTGAGTAATGTTATAGAGTATTGTAATGAAAATCAAACAACAAACAGGTATTCAAGTTCAAAGAAAAGAATGAATGAAATAACAATAAAATGAATAATAATAATGATAAAAGAAATAACAAGAAAAAAGTGAATAGAAAAAGAAGAACACAAAGAAAAACAAATAAGAAACAAAGTAAATATGATGATAATAAACATTATACAAATAAGAAATCTAAATTATTAACAATAAATGAAATTAAAATGAAAATTAAAAGAATAACAAGAAAATGGGAAATGAGAATAAACAGAAATACATAAAAAATAATAAGGTAAAGAAAATGTATAATATTCTCCAAGAAGTATATTCAATAAGAAATAATAAAATAATAAAGAAAAACAAAGAAGAGTTCAAAGATAAAACAAAATAAATGAAGAAGATATTAAAATAAATGAAAAATGAATCAAAAAATCAAAACAAAGAAATGAATGATAGATGTAAAGCTGCAAGAATAATAAATGAAAAATAACATAAATAAAAAACACAAGATAAAGAAGAAGAATATAACAAATAAGAAATTAACACACTTCAAAATAAAATCAAAGAAATAGAAGAAACTATTAAAGAATTTCAAACAAAAAAAGAAAGAAGAAGAATGAACTATTTCAAATGAAATGATTCAAAAAGCATGAGATACAATTAGAAAAGAATTTGAAGAAGAAATAAAAAAGATTCAAACACAAATAAACAATATTCAAACTACATATAATGAAATAAGAAAACTCTAAATTAAAATAATAAAATATTTCATTACAATAAAAAATAAATGAAAAATAAAATAGAAATAACACAAAAATATGAATTAAAGATGAGTTTATCATTCTCCAAGTAAATTGTGAGAAGTGAAATAATGATGAGGTGAAGAAGAACATAAGAGATAAAGAAAAAATAAACTATTTAAAGAAAAATAACAATAACATTATTTTATTATTAATTTTATTATATAATAATGTTATTTAAAATAAATAAAAAGCAATTAATTAATTATTAATAGAATTTGAATCTATTGTTCCTGGCTAGGGGAGATTAATTTTGTCACTGAGTCTTCGTCATGTAGTTCAACATCATATGTTTGGTTGTGGTAGAAACAATGTTGCATGACATCAATTATATTCTTAATTACAATGTTTTTGATTTCTTTAGTGATGTCAATTTTTAATTATTTAATTAATTTAATACTTTCTATATTTACTATTTAATTTATTGAAATTATTACTGTATTTATTTTGAAATCTTCTAATTTCTCTATTTTCATTATCATTCTTCATTTCTTTATACTTATTTCTTTTCTTCAAATAGGCTCAATTAATATTATGATATGCAACAATAATCATATCAAATAAGATCAGTTTTATTCTTTTTATTTATTAAATATATATCTGATATTTTATGATATTATCATTCACTTTATGATATTATTTGTTTGTTCAATATCATAGTAATGTCATTGTATTATAACACTGTTTCATATGTTGATTTTTGTATTGTTTATTTCATGTGTATTTTCTTATTATCTAATATAATACTTACAAATATTGTCATATTTCTCATTTTGTGATTTTTATGAAAAATATAAGATGATAGAATGTGTTCTACCATTGCTATCTTGTATTTACAAAGTGGATAGTATTTTATTCATTTTTTAATATTTTATCTTTTCTATACATATTGAATATTATTCCATTTTTATTTTAGTTCAATGAAGAAAAGAATTCTTTTTTATAATGATTGAATTCAATGTATTTATTGTAGTAGTTTTATCTACAAATTTTGATTCAATCCATCTTCTAAAATATCCGTTTATTTGATTTCAATTTATTAATGTATTTGTTTATCATTATTTTATTCATTTTTATTATTTATTTTTATTTTCATTCATTTCTTTTATTATTTATTCTATTTCTATTTCTTTGATTTGATGTTTTATTATTTTTATTTATATTCATTATTCATTTATTTGAATATCATCTATCTAATATATTATTTATTATTTCATTATTGTACAATATTACATTACTATTCTAATTATTTCATTAACATATTCATCATTCATATTTATTATTCATTATTTCATTTATATTGATATATAGATTGTATTTAGAATTACAAACAATAATATATTTGTATTTATTATTTATTTTATTATCTCAATTTCAATTCTATCTAAATTATATTCAATTTTACTACTGATAATGAATATATGAAGATATTAATTAATTTATTGATAATTCTTGTAATATATATTCTATTATTATTATTTTTTTCTTCACTATTTATTTCTTCAATTTTCTTCATCATCTTTTCTCTGATGATTTTATAATTAAATATATCATTAATTTCATCTGATTATCATATATTTAAATGTTATACAATTTATTTATTTCATTTATTGTGATGTTTTCATTTTAAGATTGTATTTGATTAATATTCTTTATTTCTTGTTTTATTCTCATTCATTTCTTTATTCTATTTATTATTTATTTAATTTATTTGTTGGTTATTCTCATTATTCATTATTTTGTATCATTATTCTCATTTATTCATTATAATATATGATTTATATTATTTAACTTCTATTTAATGATTTGAAAAATTATATTTATTTTGACGATAATAGAGTTGATAATGAATCATGATGGGGAACCAAAATAAGCAAAGAAATAATGAATCTAAATAAAAAACCACAAAAAGAAAAGGGAAAATATTTTGAATCAATAAAATAATACTTTTTATTATTTTGCTCATAAAAAAAAAATAAAAAATAAAAAAGTAAATTAAATATTCATCTATATTCATTTATATTTGTTTATATTTTATATCATTTTATGGTAAATTGTTCTGAATTATAAATGATTCAGAAATGATATTTGATTCAATGTAAGTATACATTTTTATTATTATGTTATTATTATGTTATTTATGTATTTTATTATTATATTTATTTCTATTATTGTATTATATATCATCATATTATCTCTTTATTATTATATTTATCATGTTTTATTAGTTTTATATTCTTATTATTTATATTTCATTTTATATATTAATATATTTTTATTTATATATAATTTATTATATATTAATACATTTCTTTATCTTATTTTCATTTTGATTATATTTTTATATTTTATATCTTCTTTCTCTTTATATTTATTATTATTTTATTTATATTATATTGATTTTATTTATCTTTTTATTTATATATTTTATTTATTATTATATCATTTCTTTTCTCTTATTATTTCTTTATTATTTATTATTATTCATTTAATTTTTATATCTTCTATCTATATCATATGAATTTATTATTTATTATTTATTTTATCTTTTCTTATTATTCTTTTATTATTTTATGTTTATTATATTTTATTTTTATATTTCTTTTTCTATCTATTTTTCTATTATTTTTATTTATTTTATATATTTCTTTTTGAATTTATTCTTATTCTATTATTTATCTTTTTTATTTATTTTATTTATTCGATTGTTTAATAAAAAATATATCA